ATCCCCAATACCCGAGAGGGAGGGAATAAGAATTAAAAAGTCAAATCCTAAATTTTGAGTAGAGGAATAATTTGAATTGAAAAGCTCCAGAATTAGGGCTTTGGAGTCAGATTAGGATTGTTAGCTCCATCTTATTACTGGGCAACCTTCAGACAAATTTCTAACCTCTCCAACCTGTTTCCTCAATAAATCATACACTACCTTAAGAGTTTCTTAAAAGTATTAAATAAAATAGGAGCAGGGCACAATCATGCACACCTGTAATCCCAGTGGCTAACGCAGGAAGATTGCAAATTCAAGGCCGGCCTCAGCAATTTAGCAAGGCACTAACCAACTGAGTGAGACCCTACCTCAAAATGAAAAATAAAAAGAGCTGGGGATGTTTCTCAGTGGTTAAGCATGCCTGGGTTCAATCCTCAGTACTCCAAAAAATAAAATAAAATAGTATATAATAAGGCTCTACATCCATAAACTGTCATTTTCTAATATTCAAAGGTTTAATAAGTTTGATTCAGAGAGAAGGTAAAACAAACAGCAGAGGAAAATCATTAACTGAACAGAAAGGAAGAATATATTGCTCGCGTATGCCAGGTTTATAACTTTAAAATTAAGGATAAGCTTCTCAGTTAACAGTTAACCACAAACGTAAGGCTGCATCATTGATCTTGAAATGCTTCTCTGTATGTGATGTTCTTCCTCCCTCCTTCTAATTTAACAATTCTTTGAGCTGTACATTTGTACAATTTTCTCTTGTCCTTTTCCTAAAGTCCTGACTCACACTCTCCTTTCTTCGGTCCTGGGATGACCTAAGCCTTAGCCAGACAGACACACCTTAGAGTTTACTGACTATTCTAGGGGCTGGGGATGTGGCTCAAGCAGTAGCGCGCTCGCCTGGCGTGCGATCCTCAGCAGCACCACATACCAACAAAGATGCTGTGTCCGCCGAGAACTAAGAAAAAAATAAATAAATGTTAAAATTCTCTCTCTCTCTCTCTCTGTCCCCCTCTCTCACTCTCTCTTTAAAAAAAAAAAAAAAAAAGAGTTTACTGACTATTCTAAAGATTTCAGGAAGGCCAAGCATGGTGGCATATGCCTGTAATCCCTGCAACTCAGGAGGCTGAGGCAGCCTCAGCAATTTAGCAAGATCCTGATTCAAAATAAGAAGGGCTGAGGATGTAGCTTAGTCATAAAGCATCTAGTTCAATCCCCAGAACTGTTTAAAAAAGTTCAGGGAGAAGGCCAGAACCAGCACCTAAGACCTAAGAGGTCAGAAACAATCCATGTGACATAATGAAAAAGACATGGGATAGGGAAAAAGACAGATGTAAATGTAAGTCCCACCTCTGCCACTTCCTAAATTTATAACCTTGTACAAGGCACCTACTCTCTCTGGACCATATTTCCTCATCTGTAAAACAGAGATAATGACAACTATATCTCATAATATGCTTGTCAGGATTACAGAAACACTGACAATTCCTGGCACATAAAAGGCCAATAATGGTAACTATTATTAGGGTCCAACTGCCAACTGATTCACTGAACATTTTGCCAGGCTGTACTTTTCTAACTGGCAAAGGAATCACACTGTTCCTACATTCCCATGCCTATATCCAAAACATTCCATTTCTGTAATCTATAATTAACCAAATCAAGAGTTTAAACAATTCAGGGCAAGAAAGCACTAAATCCTGACAACAAAACTAGTGCAAGGTATAAGTTTGCCAAGAGAAATACGGAATCTGTTTGAACATGGTCATTACCCATAGTGATGTAAGCACAAGTCAGTTGAGGTTCCTGGGCTTGGAGTCTTATTGTCAGAAAGTCTTTTAACTTTTCTGAAATAAATCAACTTCTGCCTTGTTTTTGCTACTGTGCTCCAACTTTCCTATCACCCATTTCCAAGAACACAGGGAAGAGATCCTCTCAACTGTCACTTCATTTACTGTAGAAATTTTCTTCCCATTTCACAAAGTACTTCTTACAGAGATTTTTGGTTTGCTTAGTTCACTTAATGTGAGCTTATTTTAAAAAAATTA